GGACTTTTAAATTAAATGTTCCCTCCTGGTGGAATGACCTGCCCAACTCAATCCGAGCAGCCGAGTCCTTAGCCATCTTCAAGATTTGGCTACAAACTAGTGTTGTCAAACAATTAACCGCATCCAAAATAAAAGTTTTTGTTTACATAATATATGTGTGTGTGTGCTGTATATATTTATTATGTATAGATAAATACACACATGTACGTATGTATATATTTAAGAAAAATATGTTACGTTTATATATTAAATATATTTATATATGATATAATTTATATGCATAAAAATATATACATGTAAATATTTTCAAAATATATGCTGTATGTGTGTGTCTTTATATATACATAATAAATATATACAGTACAAACACATTTTGTCAACAAAAATGTTATTTTGGATGCGTTTGACAGCACTACTAAAAACACATCTCTTCCATCTTTATTAGACCCTCTATTAGAACTCTAGCACTCTATTCTAATTCTATTCTTTAAAAAAAAAGGAAGACTTTCACTCTATTCATTTTCTAACTGCTTGTTTTTTTACAAAAAAAAATGTTTTTGTATTCTATCTATTTGTTTTCTTTTTATTTATTATACAACTAACAAAAGCAAAAAAGGCCTCTAACACTAGCTTGCTCTATTCTTACTCGGTTTTCTTTTTATTTATTATATAATTTAAAAAAACCTTGCTACGTGTACTGCGTTAAGCTAACTGAGACTTGTTATAGCACTAGTATATCATTACTCTTTTGGTTTTGATTGCTTCTATTGTCCTCATTTGTAAGTCGTTCTGGATAAAAGCATCTGCTAAATGACTAAATGTAAATGTAAATAAAGTATGCATATACTTTAAATACATAACTTTTCGTTTTATACATGATATTAATGATACATATATATTTATAAACTAATACAATAAACTATATATGTATGTGTGTGTGTGTGTGTGTGTTATCAATGTATATATAAATAACTAAATATTATGAGTAAATATATGTGTTGTCAGTATGTGGTTTATTTAGTGTGTGAGCTGTCGACAGGCGTGATGAGTGTGTCGCTGGTCTGACAGCATTGTGTTGGTTCTTTCATATGATGAAGTCTGCGGGGGCTGTCGTGACCCATGTGTGACCTCTGACCCCGGGCAGCTCTGAGGGCGTGTGACACTCACATTCCTTCATCATGCCGATGTCGACGCATCGCTTCAGACGGCAGGCCTGGCAGTGACGCCGGCTGTCTTTGGTGATGCTGCAGTTCCCATTAAACGGGCAGGTGAAGCTCGCCTTGCGCTTCATACTGCGTCTGACAGAGAAAGAGACAGAGACGGAGAGAGAGAGAGAGACGGAGAGAGAGAGAGAGAGAGAGCGAGAGAGCGCGAGAGAGAGAGAGAGCGCGAGAGAGAGAGA